CACTATCTTCACACACATTACAATCCCCTCTTTATATACTCGCCTACCCTAGCTAGTAAATACTAGAGCATTCATGAAAAAACAAGATAGTTCTAGAAAATAGAGGGCGCCACACCAGTCACGTGACCTCGATGACGCAACAATATGATCCATTGTTTTGACTTAATCGTATCCAATTTTTTGGTTTTGGTTTGTACAAAAATAAATCTTACTTTCATATAATTTGTTACTATCTTCTCATTTCTGATACAAAGAAAAAATAGTATGTTAATGAAAGAGCTGATCCCCCCCTGAATTCTTAAATTAATGCAGGGTCTGCTTCAGTACGTTCCCATGCTTCGGTTCGAAGCTATGCCTACATCAGAAATCAGTCTCCAATTCATAAGTTACGAGGAAAACATGAAAAGGTTCACGTGCGACGAACAGCGTCGTTACAACAGGACGAACATTCAAGTCTCCAGTCTCTCAACTATCATAATCCTAATTCAACCGCAGAAGACCCGAAAACGGTAAACACTTTATATAAGTGAACTTTTTTCTTTATTTTATCATAATTATTAAGAAAGGTTGAAACGGAAATAATAAGGATTAATTTACAGTGTATCTACTACTTTAGTCACTTGTTTTGTAAAACTTTAAGTCGTGTCCTGGACAAAACTAACATTCCTGCAGATTTTCATCTAGAATGCGCTTTTACTTTTCATATCTCGTTTTATTTAAAATATTTCTCCGCTTCAGTTGATACTTTGGTTTGTTTCACCTATACCTGATCTAGTAATCCATGGATGACAGGATTTTTGTTTTTAATGTGGTCTACTACTTCAGGCGTGTGAGAGAAGTTGTTCAAAGATGAAAACATGGAAAAATTGACAATAGGTAAAAGTCTTCATGTAGAAGAATAGCTTGAAATCCATAGGTTAACGCATTGCCGAAACGATATGTATGTTTTAAAAAAGACAATGAGATTTGTACGGTTTTCGCTTTAAGAAAAAAAAAAGGATTACAGAATTATTAGAGATTTGTTTTGTGTTTTATTTTTAATTAATGGTATATGTTTTACAACACAATGCTATAAGGAACATGACTAAGAGAAAAACAAATTTTTCCTTGATTTTTCAAGACTATAAGTTGTGAAAGTATAATGTACAAATCTTATTCCCATTGAAAAAAAGTATGTGTTTTATGGTACTCAAAATGGGGTTATCTTCCATTGTTTCCTGCAAACTGAGTCGTAAAAAGAATTCATGAATTTAAGTTCATAAATTTTCTCTAGTAATAAGTATAAATTTATTCTTTATATCGTTAAATTACGTGATTTTGTTTAACTGTATTTCGTGAACATTACTTTCCTCATCATTAATTGTTTTTCAGGATAAAGTATAAGGATTGTTTAACATGTACCATCAGATATACCAATATATACTTGTTGAGATCTTATGTTATCCCAGCTTTCAAGTCAGATGAATAGATCAAGATATCTTATCTTTGAATACATATAATCAGTAATGAGGTTTATACTCTGGAAGTTATAGATCTGATTATAAGTTCAAACGATATCTTCCATTCTGAGTAGCAGCCAAATTGACCGGTGTATAGATTGGATTGAATATTATTAACTAGCTACCCATTCACCATCGTGACTGGCAACTTGAATCGATAACTTAAGTGGATGATAAATGTAATAACGACACGTTATTGATCATCATTTCACTTCATCATTTGTTAGCTAGAAGATGCGTGGCACAATTTCGAAATAAATCATTTTGTTTTGGGGACATATTGCTATTTACTAGTTTTTCACCATTTGACGTGTCGTTTGTAGACTTTTTTTTTTTTCATTCGTAAACATGACAACATTTCTTAATACTTAATTTGTGTCCAATTCGCATATCCTAATTGTTTCATAAATGTTTTCATTTATCCGAAGTGTTATTGGTTACGAAATAAAAGAAACAGTCTGAACAGAAAATAAGTTTATGCGTCATGCCAAGGGTACGATAATATATATAAGTTTACAGAATAAAAGAATATATTTTGTTGTCCTAATAAATCTATCATCAATAGCTTAACAATGAGTTAGAATGTGTCCGTTTAGATCAAAATCAAACACATGTAGAAACAAATGTATTTTTGCGTCATGTCAAGGGTACGATAATATATATAAGTTTACAGAATAAAAGAATATATTTTGTTGTCCTAATAAATCTATCATCAATAGCTTATCAATGAGTTAGAATGTGTCCGTTTAGATCAAAATCAAACACATGTAGAAACAAATGTATTATGCCAATCACACAAACAATAATCTAGATTTAAAAAACTTGATTATAGTTGGTTGTCGCTAAAATTAGTCATTCTAGTGTAGGTTCAAGATGTGCAGAAGAGTAAACTTTCTTTTATGACTCAAATAAGGTGACGAAGCATTTTAAATAAAGTAACTGTACAATTCTAATACTAATGGGTTAAATATAGACAACAAGAATTATATTAAAATTAATTAAAAGGTTGTAAAGTTATTTACAAGTGTTTTGAAAAAGTAATAAGGCTTTATATCGGAACTTGTTAAGTTCTGTTGAGCATTTGCTAATTAGTTGTTTCTGCTGTAATATAAATAGACGAAATGCATTAGTAGCGGTAGTCGTGATTAAATTAGAATATAATTTTGGGTAATAGCACTTACAGTAACATTAGACCTTGATAACAGTAGTAACGGTGGGTATTTCTAAATTAGCAATATTAATAGTATTAACACTGGGAACTATAGTGTTTGTAGTAAAGTATGTAGTGATGGTAAAACAGTGGTGTTAGTTAATACTACGAATATTGACATTATACTGATCTGAATAACAATCAATGGTTGTTTTTGTCGGAGTTGTAGAGGGATTTTGGTTTAAAAACTATCGTTTATTATGGTCTAAACGCTCACAATTAACAGTTTTGATGAACGACACATATCAATAAATACTAAATTTGTCCTGACCTTTGGTTATTGATTTTACCGATTCTTGTTTGTTGATTTTGATCGAAAGAAATGAAGATAAATTATTATGATACTGCTTTAGTAAACTGTTTTGGAGTGCCTAGTCCAATACATCCATCCACTTATGTATAAACATATAAGTACATTTTCTAATCATATATATAACGAACTGTTTCACAAAGTAAGAAACCCAATAATCCGAGAACTTTCAGAAGATAAACCTTGTTTTTTAGGGTTCACTTTTGAAGAAGAACTGTCTATATTCCTTCTAAAAGCACTAAGGTTATCAGGTTTATTAAGCTGAATTTTGTTTATAATTGTAATATTCTCCAACTTTCAAGCAAAATAATGAACAACCTTTCCAATTTTAAGCGCAATTACTTATAGCTCACTGCTACTACGTTTCTATACATGTTATACCTACAAAAAGGCATTTTAAAGACAGTGGAAGCATAATATACCTTTTATGTGTTAACTAATGAGACTCAGCTTAGATAGATTTAATGACATAAACTGTCTTTAATGCCACTGCTAATAGGCCGAGCTTATTATTTATGCAAACCGCTTTTGAGAATATTATTTATTCAACAGCAAAAAAAAATAAAAATGAATCAGTACTGTGTAGTTTAACAAAAGAATGTATTGAACCACAGTATTCGTGGTTAAAATATGCTAGGCGAAATATGAACAGCCGAGATGTTATAATAGCGCTATTCTTAACTAGGTTAGTAATATTATCTTGGGTAGTAACAGTAATATATATTTTTTATATTTGACAAACAGTAGTAATGGCGGGTATTTCAAATTTAACAATATTAATAGCATTCGTATTAATACTGTAACGCTGGCAACTATAGTTTTTGTAGTAAAAGATATAGCAATGTCCTTGGTAAAATTAGTTATACTAGTATTATAGATAATAGTGCAAGTGTTAAAAGAGGTTATAGTGAGTTTGGTAGCAATAACACTATAAGAAAAATTATAAATTCCTGTTGAGATTTAATGTTATGTGTTTTTGACAGGAAAGTGTTATTCCTGAGACAGCAACAAAGGATGTGTTGACAAATAACAAGTGATTGATAAATGTGTAAGTTTAGCAGCTTGTGTTTTTATGTACCTTCATCTTCGTGGTTTCAACTCAATCAACCGTGATCTCTACAGGTTGAGTGGAGCAAAAAAATAAGAACACATAAAACCACTGGTGATTCTGGAAGAATGTATACAACAAGAAAAACCATACTAGAAGGTGTGTCATCATAGACTCACCTGAAAATGTTTTAATAATGGGTCGAATGTGTGAAATGAAATGAGTATGTTCTAAAGAGTCTTGAAAAAAGTCTTTTTCTGCTTTTCTTCCTCCTGAAAAATTAAGTAAATATAACATTTAAAAGTAATGTGATCCGTTATGATTGTGCAGTCGTAAATTCCTAACAAATATATATATTACTTTATCTAGCTGAAGTGGCTTGTAGTTATTTCTGTTTACCTGTCTCGATATTTCTATTTCCAAGCCGCTGACAGTAGTTCTTTAGGGCCAATAGAATGGAGCTAATCGTTAGTTGTTTTGCTAATGCAGTTTTAATTCAATTCAAACACTGCACTCCGAGCTCTTCAAAAACTCTTCTTAATTATAATCTTTGTTACAGTTAATACATATGGTATTGCTTCTTTGTACTATACAAAATATTTTCACCTTGAAATGAATGAAATGTTTATGCTCGATTACTCGTGTAACTGCTACCCACTCACAACTCGGTGTTGCTCAAACCGAATTGCCTCACTTATGCTAGGAAGAAGAAACATATGATTTATACCCTTTCATTTTTTGGTTGATCCTAAATATATTTTAACGAATTATCTATTAATGCATTAAGCAAAAATGATACAGAACTTGAGTAATTACAAACACGTTTTAAAATCATATTTATAAATTAATATACAATTGTAAACTTTTATCATTTTAATAACTTTAAGAAATTAGTTTTCTTATTATTACATTATTGTTAATGATGTACATTACTTTGTAAAAATCTTAAAATAATTCAAGATAACTGTTAACGGTTTTTCTTTTAGAATTGATACTGAGTGCTGCTAAAATAGACTGGTCATACTTTTTAAGCTTTGCACTTTAGAATCTATTGTTCGTTGTGCAAATTTAAAGTAGTTTATGAAGTTTTCAGATGTGTTAAATGTATTTACGAGGTTTTGTTAACTAGTATACTAGAATTAAAGTAAGTGTAAGTTATTTTGTCTTTTCTGGTACTTAATATTATTTATTAACAATAATTTCTCTTCAAGAATATAACTTATTAGATTCACTCAAGGCGAATTGTGTGAGAAAAATACTTTTATCGCTTTATTAGATATAATAAGAGTGAATAATCTACCCAGCTTATGTTTTTGTTGAATTATTACATAACTAATTTTTATTTAGAAATTAAAGCATGTACAATACCAACTTTTGGAGGGTTAGATTGGGCTTATTAGCCCACTTTCATTTTATACAAAGATTTCTTTTTCAAACAACCACATTTTCCAGACTAATTCTCAGTTTGTTATTTCCAGCATTATATTTTTGTTTTAGAATGGAATGACAATAAAAATTACATATCACTTCTTGGCCTGTGAATTTTTTCAATATTTATAATTGTGTGTATTAGTTATTGACGTTATTTGTGGGTGAACTTGAAAGATATCCACATAAAAATGCTATTACATTAATACCATTAACACACCAAAACATACTTTTTGGTCTGAAACTGAATATTTTTGTGTTGGACAAAACATACTTATGTTTCACCAAAGACATTTGGTGATAAACTCAAAACAAATTATAAACATGTTTATTAGTGCAGAGACTTCATAAAGTATTTGTCACATGTGTGTATCCTTTAATAAACACATCCAAGTGCCTTATTTCATTCATGATTTTGATCTTGGTAATTTCAATTAGATGTTGTTACACACATATTTGGTTTAATACCTAATTAACGATTGACAAAAAAGAAGAAAGTTTCCAATAATTTTGTTCCTGTTTCTCCAAAGTAGTGTTCTTCGATTCCTTGATAATCAGATGTACTAAGGAAAGGCTGCTTGATCTAAACAAGTTCCAGAGTTAAATATTTGGTACCTCAATATATTTGGGTTAAGTTTACCATAAACCATGCAGTCCCATTGTGTTCTTATGCTCATTTGTGTTTCATTGATCTGAGCCTACATTTACTCTGCTTCTCAAATATTTTGGAGACAGGTCAGTTTCTGTGTTAAGCTAACAATGGCAAGGTGTATTACTGTTCCTCAGACCAACAGTTTAGTTTCTTGTGTCTAGTCAATAATGGCAGGGTTAATTTACTGTTCCTCAGTTGCTGTTGACAAGTTCTCTAGGTCCATATTTGTATCACTAATAAATGTTACACAACTATGCCCTTCTACATTTATTCATATATTCACTTAAAACTCTGTTCTTATTAATCAAGTCATTCACATAGTATATATTCTAGCCTTTTAATTATATATATATTATATATACTTTATTACTTTTGAAAATGCACTGTTATACTTTATTTACAAGCAACCAAAAAAAACTAGAGGTCTATTCTGATAAACATCTTGATCATTACTCAAACATGATTTATAAAAACTAAGTAAAAGTTGTAACACCCTAGTCAAAATTACTGGATTCATATTCCAAACACCAAACTCACTTAGAGATAAGTCAGTGTTTTCTAATATGTAAATTAGAACATAACCTTTTAACATACTGTTCCTAGCAATTCAACACATTTTCCTTCTTTACATATGTTTCAGAAAGTTTTCCTTTCTTAACAATTCAGCATTTGTCAGTAGGTGATTCATAATTCCATTGACAGACAAACAGTTCAGAAATAGAAAGGCATAGGAATAATTGATAGTAGTATGGAATGAAGCATTGTGGGCCTTTGCTGTGAGTCTGTGACAGAATAATTGAGTGGACTTTGTGAAAGCATTCAGGTTACTGTCATGAGACAATATTACTGAGGGCACATCCGTTGAGAAGTTTATTAATATGCATCATAAATTGGAAAATGTCAGTGGATGTTGTTCTTGGGGAGTTGTTTTCATACCTTTTTGTCTAAAATGTTTCAGTTACTATTGTCTACATCCTTGGAATTGACATTTTTAGTGTATGATGATTATTAATGAAAGTTTTGAAAGACATGACCTTAAAGTTGGCTTTGAATGATGTTGGCAAGATTGTCACAGGGTTAACCTATAACACTCCATTAAATACCACTAACAATTATTTTCCTATACTTCTCCATCTCTGAATTATTTGCTCACCACTGGACTTCTAAATCACCCAGTATAGACAATGCAGCAGAGAAAGCACCAACAAATTTTGAAGATGAACACAGAAGACTAAAGCAATAGTATCTAAAACTCAGTAAAGGATTAACTATTGATGAAATTGAGAAAGACAGCTTCTCAGAATCACTGATGAAGTAAGAATAAAATCTAGGACACAGAGAGTGTTTTTATAACTATGCTTAATACATGAATGCTTTCAAATGGTTGATACCAAACTCATATTCTCACAAAATTGAAAGAGTGGAAGTAGAGGGGGGGGGGGAAGAGACACATTAGCTTGAAAGCATGCTAATGAAATATTTATACCTTCATCTCAACATTTAGTGGATAAATCAAATTATTTCCTTTTCTCACATAAAAAAGGATTACAGCAATGAAACCTGTTTCTGTTTAGTTTCTGGTGAAATATTCTTATTAGTGAGCTTTGTTGTAAATAAATACAACCAGTTTACAAACCTACATAAGTACAATATTTCTTAGTTTTTGTCGGGCTTCAATCTATAATAATTAATTGAAAGCCACTAAAAATGTTTTGTGCTCAATTATTACTGTTTATAGACAATAAATCACACTAATATTGTACTGGTCTCTAAACATTGCAGTTACATATTTATGAATTTTTCACTTATTCATCCAATTGTTTCTATTCTATATTTGATAAAAATTCAACAAGAAAAACATATGACAACTGATACTCTTGCATTTATAATATCAACTGAATATAAAAGGAACAGTGCATACTTATGATAAGACATTGTGTACACATGTCTGTCAACATTTATTTGTTTTGGGTACAGACAGCATAGTAGATTTCTCATTTTGTTAAATACACAAGGTAAAATAAACATTAGTTTTAAGGATACTAATTTTTCAATCTGTAATTTGAAATCATGGCTAAATAATAGTCAAGTATTGGTTAACTTGTGCAATATGTACCATGTCAATAATAGTCAAGTATTGGTTAACTTGTGCAATATGTACCATGTCAATAATAGTCAAGTATTGGTTAACTTGTGCAATATGTACTATACTTACATGCATCATTAGTTGTTTTTTTACTTCCAAATACAAGAAAAATTTATGAAAAACAATATTAACATGTATTACTTAGCAGAACAAATTATAGTGTCATTATCAACTAATTACAATGCTACAGTTACTACACCTAATAACTAGCAATGTATAGCTGAATTTTGCTAATTATCATATTCTATAATTTGTAAGCAACATAACATACAGTTTCCAATTTTAGGTATGATCACTTGTAGCCCACTGCTGTCATCTTTCATTAATGTTATACCTCTAAAAAAGCATTTTAATGACAACTGGTACTTAATATACCTTTTCTTCAACAGCTTAGATAGTTTAATGAGACAATCTGTATTTAATGCCATTGCTAAATGGGCAGGTTTATTATTCATGCAAACCACCTTTGAGAATAATACAACAAGAAAATGAGTCAGTACTCTGCAGTTCAACACAAGAATTTCACTTGGCCACAGTATTTACACTTAATAACCTGTGATATAAAATATGCTACACATATATAAGTTTTCCTCTCAAGTTACACATGTCTGTATAGATCCCATTCAAACTCATAACAATCATATTCCTTTATTTTCAATTTTTACATGCATGGTTTGTTTTTTAGGCAAACAGCAAGTATTTGTTTTTTCTATAACATGTAATTACAAGCATAATTATAAAACTACACATAATAAAAATTTGCAATTGTTTTCCTACCATTCTAAATTGAAAATACCTATTTAGTTCCAACAGAATAAGAGTAAACAATGACAATTTTAGTGATGAGAGATGAACCAATCTGGAGAATTCAGGCAACATCCACCAGTTAAGGTTTAGGCTGATGCCGTCATACAAAAACACCAACAAGACAGTCCATGTCAGTGTATATTCTCCAGTGAATCTCTTCTCGTCGAAAGCCTAACAAGATCACTGCAGTTTCTTGTCTATAAAAGCATGTAATAAAGGAAAAAATTAGGTATTGTAATAAAACATAAAATAACTTTAAAAACATTTGTGTAACACAATTATGAGACTGAGAAGTTTAAATTTTCAACAAGGAAAGTTTTAAGATTTGTATAAAAGAAAATATAATATATCATTATTTTACATGTATTTAATTTTTTAATTAAAAAATAAAAGTAAACAAGGACAATTTTTTTACGTTTACAACTTGAAATTAATAGTGAGGTAATACTTTAAACTTTGTAACCTAAAACACTAAATGAGTTAAAATATGTGGTCAGAAGAAACCAACAATAACATATTAGAATACAATGGCTGCTGTCATATCTGTTGTAAGTAAACATGGAGAAATTCCTATGAAAATTACATAACATCATGGTATCAGATGATCTAATAAAATAGGCTGAAACATGATAAATACAAAAATTAAAAATCATTCTAAATGTTTTAGATTAGGAATTTTACACGAACACAGCTACAGTGTGTTAAACTGTTGTGAAGTTATGAGCTTTAAAAGGTCAAGATAAGAAAAAATAAAAATAAATTCTGACTGCTGTCAAGTGTGATTGCTTCATTATAAATAACTATAATATGATAAACATGATTTTAATTAGTAGATTAATGAAACATGTGAAAATTTAGATAAATAATAAGTTTATAAATGAAATTACAAAGGCTGATTATGAAGATCAAGTGACTCTCAAGTCCATAGCCCACTCTGGTGGCCGTTCTTCATACTGTGATAAGCAGCTTACAAATGTTTGACTTGAACAAGATGCAACACTACTAGAAACTGCTTCTAGAGAAAAACAATAAAGAAAATTTAGTAGCAGAATTAAAACTTTATAAATAAAAGAAAAAAATTCGGATAAATATATTTCTTTCCAGCTTAGACTTTTTTTTTTTCTCTCCACTTAGGGACTCCCTCATTCACAATCTGTTATTTACAATTTTGTACTCTTTATATCAGGCTTACTTCTTCATAGAATTTCATATATCTACTTCAATGATATTTGAAATACTTAACTATACTTTATATGTATAAAACAAGAAATTCACTTTGAATGGAAAAGAAAAATGAAAAAATATAAATCAATAAACCAGAAGTCTAATAACTCACTGGTTGTTGGCAGGTTTATCGTTTCAAAATCATTGGGTTTCTGTTTTTGTCCCATTTACTCAAAATCCACCCTTGGGAGTAGGAAGAAAGGTAGGTAATGGTTGAGTCAATTATCTTTTTTTTTAGTTTTACTACTATAACATTTCTTTTTTCAGAAATAACATGTATCCTATACTACCATACACACACATGTACCTAAAATGTTCATATTGATAAAAGAATGATAGAGATGCCTACCACACATATAAAAGGACATTACAGCAGTGGTCATTTGTATAAATTTACCTACAATGAAACAGCACAGAATTGCAAACATATATCCTGTTTGTAGTTACAATGGCAACCATCGCTACTAAGATGTTGTTATCAGATCATCGGTGGTGATGGAAAAATCAGCAGGTAGGTCGGCAGTCTGATACACACTACAGTCCCCGGTACAGGTGGGTCGGCAGTCTAATACCCACTACAGTCCCCAGTATAGGTGGGTTGGCAGTCTCATACACACTACAGTCCCCAGTACAGGTAGGTCAGCAGTCTAATACACACTATAGTCCCCAGTACAGGTAGGTCGGCAGTCCACTACACACTACAGTCCCCAGTACAGGTAGGTCGGCAGTCCAATACACACTACAATCCCAATACAGCACATAAGGCTATCTAGATATCCATTGTGAAGAAGTATCATACCTACTTATTCATAAAAGAACTCAAAAATATAACATGACAAAAAAGTCATCACAAATACCTTAGAGAAAGAATGATCCCATGGAGTGTGAAAGCTAGGACTTCAGGTTAAATCTTACTGTGTTCGCACACTAGTCAGGTAACAGAATGTTTTTCTAATGTAAATGTGGCATACAGTGAACAGGAATTATTCAATTTCCAAGACTAAGGACAGAGCTTATATCAGTTAGACAGCTGTAACAGGTAGGTTTGTAAAGATCAACAGAGAAATAAAATGGTGTTGGACTTCTCCAGATGAATATTACAACTACTATTAACATGGCCTACTGAATCCTTCTGATAACCTTGGTAACATATCAGGTTGAAAGAAGATGAACTAATTGTAACTCCAAAACATGTATGTGAACACGACTGGCATAGATGCTGAAACGTTTAGTATTTGGAACAAAAAGTGTGATTTGTGTAAAATCCAAGGACATTTGAGATTTGCTGCACGAATGCCAATTCGAACGAGAAGATATTCCAATATTTACATCTGGCCAATGATTCAAAGGGTGCTTTGGTAAGATTTGAAGCACATATAGGTGCCTTTTAGAATAGAAGTTGCACTGTATTAAAAAACCTGGCTATCAATGAAATAGCAACAAATGTTAAGGAGATTATCTTCAAAGAATTGGTGAAAGCTACTTTATAATTTCAATACAAAAAAGCCACAATCCTAAAAAAAAAGTAGAAATCACAAAACTAAAGGGTGGATGGAGAAAATTTCCATGTTAATATTAATAAGCCCTTTAATGGGATTAACATCTCCACAATAAAAGATATTTGTTGAAAATCAATTGAGTTAAATTGGACAATTGTGGATTTTGGAACAATAAATCAAAAATGTTTTCCCTTTATTTATAAATTGCATCTATGTAAATTTTTTTGAGAAGTTTTAATTGGATTACAGAAAAAACTACAGCTATTACACCTAATAATCCAAACTGAGAGCAAAAATGCATTAATATAAAAGCATAGATAATTTTTTTCACATGCAATACATAAAACCACAATCAACTAAACTCAGTACCTTCATCTGTAAGTACTGATGCACCAGTGACAGAATCTTTTCCTGGCATTTCAAGTTCTATTCTATCACTGTAGGGGTCTTCTAGCACTTTTAAAACCTGTAAAACCTCACTGTAGTCTCCTTTCTCTGCTTTATCTATGGCTTGTTGGGCAATAAAGTTACGCAGCACAAACCTGCAAAATATTTGGAAAAGTAATGTGAAAAATGGTTTAAAACTTGTGATTTCACAAAAATGTACACTGAATTAACCAATAACAAGGCAGCACAGTGCTGTAATTTCTTTTTATTTTGTTTAACTGTACTTCAGTAGTACACATAGTATTTGCTATATGTGCATCATGCTCCTTAAGAAGGCTAGAAATTGAGACATTGATTGACTAAATATTTTCTTTTTTCTGAAGATACACATGGTGGTTTGATTTAGTATGAGCTCAGTATCTTCTAGTTAACATTTATAAATGAAATATCCCATTTTTATTTATCTAGTTGCGTTCTAGTATTTTTGGCTTTCAATCAACTTTTTTACTACACTGTTGATAAATGTTTTCTAACCATTTTGGTGCTAATATGTGATTTTAAAAAGACATGTTTTATCAATAGCCAGTGAACTGTTTTTATTTTGTTCATTGTAATTTTCTTCTGTTTATTTAAAAAATAAATATTTTTCCATACGTGCCTACAAATAATGAATAGTGATTTACATACTGAACAATGTGGACTTGAGCACCCATATTCTTAATTCATTTTTCATTAAACTGAAATTAAACACATAAGAAAAATATATTTATACATATGACTCTAGAACACATTTTGGATATTCTTCTTTATACATAAGTCTGTGTTTTGGTTACTGTTTGACAAAAAAAAAATATATATAAAATAATTTACTTAAAAGAAATAATTTTTCAACATTTATAAATATTACTTTTGACCAAACAAGTGATAATTGAAACTACATATACATGCATGCTGTATGGACTTGGAGTATGAGATTTACAACTGTTGGTGATTAACACAGTTACTATGTCATACCAGTATATGGAAAATTTAACATGTAAAGTACTAACTAGATACAAGTTGAAATTTGATCTTGTATATGGTGTTTGAAAAGTATGAAACCATAGGTGATTTTCAGTTTGGAAGTCCAAGCTTGGTTGAATGACACTTTCCAGGACATTGGATTGACAGACATGGTCTCCAGGAATGGATCCCAAGATAAATGGACTGAAGGCAGTTAGTAATAAAATTAAATATAATTTTTTTTCTAATAATTGTGAAACATATGCTATTCTTTAAAGGCAACCTTTTAAAATAGCTTTATTGCAAAATATTTTTATTTTGAATTCATGGTGCCAAGATTTATTGTTTTTATACCTCACAGTGTTATGTTCATGATCTCAGAAGAAGTTTCCTGTCATTTACCTACTAATACTCTTACAGGTGTATCAATTTTGTATTCATCTCGAATCATTACAGGAGTTTTCAGTTGATAAACAATGGCTAACTATTATTCTCTTGATGTATGCAGATTTTCTGTATCCAGATTGGTATAAACAGTATATCACATGAAGGTGAACAGCAGCAATACAACTGTATACATGCAGACATCAAGCCATCTTGGAGGATAATGGAAGAATGCCATCATGTACTTATTAATAATTTAGTAACTGCATATTGTGACTTTATGGCAGAACTAGGAATATCATTCTCACACACATATGTAGCTTATATAAAATAGAAGCTGTAGTTAGACTTGTTATACTGTTGCAAATGTAACAACTTTTTACAAAAACTGTGGCACCTGCTCTTGTTAAAACAATAAATTTCTGTTCACAGGAAGCAAACCCAAACCAAAGGAATCCATGAATGTAAAGAAACCACTTCTACCAGCAACAGAATGAATTTCTTATGTTTCTGGCTGAAAGTGGCGAAAATATTGTTTGACTCGGTGCTTTTCTTAATTCCTCAGAAAAGTCTATTTGTTATGCAAAGGCTCCAAAATGGAGAATGTTATCTTCTTTATTTAAAGTTATACTTCAGAAATGAAAGCTGCACTGCTACACACCAAGGTTTCATAAATATATGTCAGAGACAGAAAAACATCCTGAGGATCTTTGCCTGCCTTTTTGTGGAATCCAAAAGATGACATGTATCACTCACATATAGTATAAACTATGTTGTGAAGGAAGAACTGCATGTATTTACAATGAACAATTCAGACTGCATGGCAGCTTTACTAGTAAAGCAAGTTTACATCGTGAACACTAAGAAAATCAACTCTCCAGCCATATTATGGAGGAAAAAAGTATGAACATCATGCATTTAATCTGTATAAAAGTGTAGAAGGAAATACAGTTATTCCAAATGACTGCCCAAACCCATCTGGACAGATTTCTGCTACAACTATAGATTGTGAAATTTTGTATACATAAATGTGGTACTTTGATCTCTGAAGAAATGCCCATTTTTGCAACATCAGCAGGTGGTCCACTCGCCTGTACTTGTTGTGGTAATGATGTTTTGGAGATAAAATGCCCCTGTACATGTCCAGAGAAATGCGATTCCAGATAACATCACTATGTCAATCATGTTTTGTAACCCAGAATTTTCAAGTAAAGACTGACCACACATATTACTGTCAATGTCAACTACAGATGCTTGTATCCAATCAAAAATACTGTAACCTTGTCATGTGGACACTAGGTGATGCTATCATGACATAAGTATTCCACAATGATAAATTCATCAAGACAATGAAAACATGCACGGAAGACAATTATTCTTCCAGAGCTTCTTTTTACAAAACTCGAGTACTGTCCACAGTCCTCTACTTTAGATGGACAAAAAAGATTTTAATAACATAATCATGCAAGACAGTAATAAGAAAAGCTGTTGTTTTTGCCATTCCAGCTCTAGTCTTGAAGAAATGGTTGTAGAGAATGGCTTCACAAAATGTCTATACTGCTGAAATGAATTTCACAAAAAGAAATTTGATGTTGCATAGAGTTTAGACAAACTAAATAGAAGAAACAAGTATTAAGTGAAAAATTAGTTAAAAAGGTGCTTTACATCGTTAAGAAAGGACCTTTAAATTTTGATGTTCAATGAGAAGTTATGAGCCTTGTATCCAACAGCGCAAGCTATATAGTTCAGGGTTTTAGGTTTAAAACTGTTGCTTAGAGAGTAAAAAATAAATAAAAAAGCCATAAAACAAACCAGGGGGATCCTAAAATTTGGCTGATGACATAATCTTGTTGAAACATTGTACATTTATAATAGTTTTCTTCATTATCCATTCAAGCCATCTCCAAACTTTAATGTATCAGGTTAGTCTTGTTATTTTTTGAATTTTTATTGATATAGATTTTAAGTGATGCTGTGTCTGAATAGTTAGGAAAAACAACTTTAACAAAGTGCATAATCTCCAGTTTACCAGTATTTGCTTTAGTTTTCCTACTAATTAAATTTTTATACATGAAAATAATGCATTGATAAATATTCTTAATAATGTTGCAAGGTGAATAAAATTTAAATGACTTTTCTTTCACAATAACAGTTGCGGTCAAAAAGGAATGAAAAATAATTTTTGTATTACTGAAGATGAATGTTCAGTATAAATAACAAAACTTACACCAATAACTTGACCAATAATTTGATAACATTTATGAGAAAACTTGCAAAACATTGTAAAATTACAGTTTCCAGTTTATGAATTTAATTTTCATTAGGTTCAAATTCACAATTATTAAAGCATAATATACACAACTTGAATTGGTGTGACCACCAATATTTCCCTGAATGTATAAGATTTTATGCACTTCATGATTCTGTTATTTTACATTGGAAATGTTAATTACTTAAACACCTGATTTATTTAGTTTTTCACTAAAAAGAATGATGGGTTCCATTATTACTCAGTGCAGCACACTTGATATAGTTGATCTAAACTCTAAGCAAGACAGATAGAAAGTGGACCTTGGTTTTCATCAAATCCAGTAACTCACTCAATGTGTATGAGTACAGATGACTTTTTTTTTAGGTATCAACTTTCTGAGCTGATACATATAAACATGTTTTCTATTTGGTAAAAGATAGCACAAAAATTAATGATACTGAAT